TGTTTGTCAAAGTTATTGATACATCCATGCATTTAATTTCCGAATATCTTATATGTGAACACTTCAAACGTAATGCTTCTCGTTTTGAATTCGATATTGTTAAAATTCAATAGACATGATATCTAGACTAAACTAAATAGTGTCATTAAATCTCATCTTAATTTTGGGAATGCACTTCTTAGAAAATCCAGTAATTACGTTAAAACCTAACGCCAATATTTCATATATTCCTATTTTTCAATACTCAATTAATTCAGAATTTAAAATTTGAATATCTTTGCCTGGATGCGTCATCATCAGCTCGTATTGTTAATTCGAGAATTCCTCAATGAGTGCAATCATTTGCATCCCTCACGATCATCCGACTTGCTTATCAGTACAGACTGTTCTTTTGTTAAAGCATTTCATCTCGATGAGATATAGTTTTCTGAAAAAATTATCACTACATAATTTTCTGATGTCGCGAACGTATTTTGCAAAAATATTCAAAAAAAGACAAAAGTGGACACAAGTCGTATAGTGGGGATTCGTTTTCTGCTGCAAGAACCTCAAATAACATTTGACAATTATCAACCGAGAAAATTTTCTACGTTTGGATAGTTTAACATACTTTTTTTCAAAACTAGTTCAAAAGAAAAGATGAGTTTGACCAGTGGCTCACCCGGAATTTAATTGAATACTAAAAAAGTGATTTTTTGCTGAAAAATAAGTTGAAGAACCTTCACCTCAAGATACCCGTGTAAGAAACGCAAAAAAGAAAAAAATGTACTAGTTTTGACAAACCGAAAAAACTTGATAAGCGTTGTAAGATGATGCGGTATTGACGCAAGTGTTTTGTTTGGGTGTAAGTTTATCGACAAACATGTTCTGCATTTTGCTAAACATATTAAACGCATTTATTCAATAGTTAAGAATTCGCTGATATGGCATAGAAAAAATATCCAACTTTAAGCATATTAAGTGAATGAAATAGGAAAAATTTTCGTATCTACAGTTTTAGAAAAAAAGCTTCATGTTTAGAGACAGATTTATATGCTCATATTAGTAGTGTTCTTCCTTAACTATCGTCATTTTGTAGACTGAAATGATTCCTATGGACGGTAACGTTAAATTGGTCAAGTACGCTCGTCGTAAAGATACCGTTGCCGACAACACAAATGAAGAGCGGATATCAATGCCAAATGCCCAAAACACAAGAGAAATTCAATATAAACCTATAAATCAAATAAAGAATTACACTATTCGACAAAATATGTAAGACTTGTCTTGAAACATAAGCTATCATCATTTTCGCTCTTTTGTAGGAAATATTTTTACTTGTTAATGCTGGATTTTATATCCAAACCTATCTTTGTATTGCCGATGACCACAAGTATATTAACTATCATAGGTCTACTGATAATTTGCTTTACTGCAACAAAAACATCAGGTATGTTCTTGTTGGTTTACATCCTCTATATTCAGTACTATAACAGCCCATAGTTAATTCACTTTTGTTTTACCAGTATTCGGAGTTTTACGACTGCTTTACTATAATTTTCTATAAGACAGAGATTATTACATTGTTCTTAGTTTTTTCTTTCATATATCAATAGAACAACAATCTCATGATCTAGCTTTCTACAAATTGATATTACGCATTGTTAATTGTTGCCGAAAGGTCAACTTTATCTTGTTCAATGTTTCTGAATCACTTCTTACAATTATTTATGGTAACACTTTCGAACATCTAGAGGAAAACCTTAGCTGATGCTGAAATTTTCTCTCTCTATTGAATTGATACGTTCTTGGATATGACAAGAATAAGAAGAAATACAAGCAATTTTCTCATAGAACCTGATAAAAGTAAATACTTCTTCTTCACGAAATAGTTTTCTGTATACTTTCTCACTTTACATTGCTTGTAGACGAGAGTAAGTATAATCTGTGTTCCATCTACATCTTCTTTCTTTCAACTACTTTGTATATATCTCATAAAACAATACTTCTATCTAACTAATAGCTGATTCACTGTTGGTCATCTTCAGAAAGTGCAAAGATAACAAGTATATATCTTGGTAATAAAAATGAGTAACTCTCATAATATCTAAAACGTATTATTAAACCTGACGTCAGACATATTTTCCTATCATTCATCATCTTCAATCGGTTCTGTAAAGAGTGCATGTCATAAAATCTAAATATATACTTAGATGATATTTTTGGAAGTTAATTTCATAAATTCAAAATGGAAATCACCTTGAATCATCATGATGAATGGGTTAAATAAGATTTCGAAGATCTCTAACCATTAACATCCAAACATCACTTCTGAATGAATGACAGTATTTGAAGTGTAGATAATTTCTCTTCTCGAAAAATTTAGCTAGAGATCTTATATTTTTATGCGACAAGTAACGATTTGTAACATGATTTTGTATAAAGTCAGTTTGTAGAAATCTCTCTTCATTGAAATATGGATCATGGAAGGAGATTTTTTCCAAGTTTTATTTTGGTATATGAGTTCTACTAATGATAAAACTATGAGTTCATCTATAAGTTATTTCGGAATATGTTGATCGCGTTATTACGGTTATCAGTAAATGTTAAGTAGTATCTGCCAGAGTGGAAAAATTAGTCGGTTTTGCCTTTTGCTTCAAAGAAAACCAGTTCTATAAAAATAAGAATTTTTTTGATAAACTATGGTCATATGTCTGAACAATCAAGAAATTCAAAGGAGAAACATATAAAAAAGGCAACTTTCGATGCGGAATGAAATGAAAAATTCTTTGATACTACATTGAAACTATTTTAAAAATGATTCAATCCTACTAAAGCAGATTGCACTACTGTATTTTACTATACGTCAATTGTTTTTTTTAAGTAGATGTATGATAGTCTACTCCTTTAAGGAGTTCAAGCAGTTGTCTTCTACTTATTTTACTAGTTAAAGCATTCCGGTGATTGATTGTACCTAAAACTGCAATAATATGTACCGCTATTTTAGAAGGGTCTATAGTATTGATATTAACAAAACAGAAACCGAGTATGTGGTTTTTCGGAATTGATTCGAGATTGCTAGAGAAAGTTTTCCATCTGTATAGCTACAAGAGTAGTGTTTGTACACAAATTACTGGTGCTTCAGATAACACTATTTACAGGCAGGTGAACAAATGTTTTGACTAAGTTATTATTGTTGTAAAGCCATTTGATTGAAGTAACAATGCAGGATTGTATCTGCATCGAAAGTGATTAAATTATTTTTCAAAACGTCAGTTTGTCTTTTTATGCATCCTCCTCCATTGTTCGTGCTTTTCCCAAAATTGTAGTCTTAAGGTTTTCTCTCTCAAACAGCCCTTTCTGGAAAATAAAGATGCTACAAGCTTTCAGAGGCTATGATTGGTTTCACACTTCTCAACTCTTAACTCATTAGATCAAACTTCAAGCACATAGTTATTTATGTAAAATGAGCTGCTTTGAGGCGAAAAATTGAACTGACACATCTTCTATCACATAATAAGAGAATGTGTTAGTGACAAGAATTGACCGTCTCAGCTTTCTAATCAAATCAAACATAGCTATCTATTGTGAGAAACCATCATATAGAAAAAGAAGTCATATTGTAACAATCGAGTATAATCACGATGTTCACAATCAGAAATCAATAATTACTCAACCCCTTAGATGATAGCTGTCAATAAATAGTCGTAGTTATATTCAGTGTGTAGCTTCTAATCCTTGTAAAAAATCTTGTTCTATTCTAATTATTGTTGTTAATCAACAATGCATGATAATCGTGACACGATGAAAGAAGTGCTGCAGCAAAAAGATGTTGACTTTCGCTTGTTTCAAAATGCTACAAAATTATCATCATTATATTGTAATTGTGGCTGATAGCATTGCTTCACTAATTAGTAAGATAGGAACGAATACAGTTTAGAACTCCCCAGGTGATTCGATCCGACTGTCGGATTACGTCGGATTATATCGGATTATATCGGAAAAATTACCGGATTTTAACGGATCCGACGGGAACTCGTCGGAAGTTGTCGGCGTCCTAGCCACAGGATTCCGACAGGAGGTTCCGGATGTCGGAATAATCAGGATCCTGCGAAATCCCTGAAACTCCGACACTTTCCGACATCCAGAACCACTTGTCGGAATCCTGTGGTTAGGATTCCGACAAATTCCGGCGAATTTCTATCGGATTCGACAGGGTGAATTCGACCTGGGTCATCGTTAGTGGGAGTCCATAGTTCGTTTTGTCATTATATTACTTGCAGTCTCTCTTTCTTCAATCACTATCAGTTTCGAGAGATTCAACGAGGTTCTTATTGAAAACTACTGGTTGTCATTCAGATTATTTTGTAACGATATAACTATTTCCTATAGAAAATAATCAGAATTATTGAAACCTTGGTCATAGATCAGTCCTCATCTATTTATTCTTATCTTATTTAGTCCCCAAATGTCAGCTTAATTTTCAAGCAACCGCTCAAAATCCAATTGAATACAAGTATAGTCCACGAGCCGTTACCATCGGCGACTTCAATAATGATACTTGGTTAGATATTGTGGTTGCCAATTACGATGCTGACAATATAGTCATATATTTTGGACATGTGGATGGCACCGTGGCAAGTCCAATTAAGATTTCTACTGGTGATGGCTCTGCACCGTACATGATTGCCGTTAATGACTTTGACAATGATCATCGACCGGATGTCGCTGTTGCAAATTTTGGCACAAACAGCATCAATATACTTCTAAGGTTTCAAAAGGAATCTTTTGCGAATCGAACATTTCTATCAACTGAATCATCTCGTCCTATTTGGATCCATGCAGCGGACCTCAACAATGACTCAGCACTAGATCTTGTCACTGCTAACTATGGCACACACAGTGTTAGCATATTTTATGGAAATGGGGATACAACTTTTTCAAACCCAAGTACCTATTCTACAGGCTACGATTCTTTTCCATTAGCAGTTGTTAGTGGCGATTTCAACAACGACAATCAGATGGATCTTGCTATCGCCAATTATGGTACCAATAATGTTGGTATACTGTTTGGAACTGGTAATCGCACTTTCACAAACCAATTCACTATCTTAACTGGTCCTATTTCAAATCCCTATTCGCTTGCTGTTGGATATTTCAACGGAGACACTATTCTAGACATTGCTGTCACCAACCATGGAAATAACAGTATAGGTGTACTTCTGGGACGTGGCAACGGAACGTTTATGAGTCAAATGACATATTCCCTTCCTAATGCTTCTCCATATGCTATTGGCATTGGTGACTTCAACAACGACAATCGAATGGATTTAGTAGTCACCAATAATGGCTCTCACAATATAGCTTTACTTGTCGGATATGGTAACGGTACCTTTACAAGCCCAACAATGTATTCAACTGGATCTTCTTCATCCATCTCCGTTACCATAGGTGACTTGAACAAAGACAATCGCTCAGATATTGTCTTCATCAGCAATGATACAAACACCATAGGTATTATGCTTGGCTACGACGAATTTTTTCCGATTCAAAAGATGTATTCAACTGGCAGAGCGCCATACTCTGTAGCAATTGGTAATTTTAATAACGATACCCACCTGGATATCGTCGTAGTCAATAGAGATGACAACACTGCAAGTGTACTTCTCGGATATGGTGATGGCTCCTTTGCAAATCAGACGATATATTCAAATGGATCTTTGCCAGAGTCTGTAGCTGTTGGTGACTTTAACAACGACACTCATCTGGATATTGTCGTATCCAATGCAAATGATGCCACTGTAAGTATCCTTCTTGGATATGGTAATTGCTCTTTTTCGAAGCAAACGAAATATTCAACCGGTTCTTTACCAAACTCTATATCTATTGGGGACTTTAACAACGACACTCATCTGGACATCGTTGCTGTTAATGAGGGAAGCGACACTATCAGTATCCTTCTTGGATATGGCGATGGTTTTTTCGCAAATCAAACGACATATGCAACTGGTTCTCACCCAAACTCTGTAGCTGCTGGTGACTTTAATAATGACAACAGACTTGATGTTGTCATTGCTAATTATGGTGACAACAATGTAAGTATACTTCTCGGATATGGTAATGGCTCTTTTGCAGATCATATAACATATTCAACTGGTTTTCAACCATGGTCTGTAGGTGTTGGTGACTTTAACAACGACACTCATCTGGATATCGTCGTTGCTAATTCTGCTGATGACACCGTAAGTGTTCTTCTCGGATATGGTAATGGCTCTTTTGTAAATCATCAGACGTATTCGACTGGCTCTGAACCAATTTCAGTAGCTGTTAGTGACTTTAATAATGACACCAAACTTGATATCGTCACCGCCAATTTTGGTAGCAACACTGTAAGTATACTTCTTGGATATGGCGATGGTTCTTTTGCTAATCAAACGACATATTCAACCGGTTCTGGCCCCGTAGCTGTCACTGTTGGTGATTTTAACCACGATAATCGAATGGATCTTGCCGTTACCAATTTTAATGACCACACTGTGAGTATACTACTTAGGTATGACCGAGGTGCTCTGGAAGATAAAGTCACGTTTGCCGCTAGCCATGGCTCTCGTTTGCGAAGCTTTGCAGTTTTTGATTTCAATAATGACAATGTATTGGATATCGTCGTTGCTAATTATGGCACTGACAGCATAGGTTTTCTTCTTGGACATGGAAATGGTACTTACGGAAAGCAAATGGTGCTCTCAACAGGTTTAAGTTCTCATCCTTGCTCAATAGCTATCCATGATTTCAATAGAGACGGTCGAGTAGATATAGCTGTGGCCAATTATGGCACTAAAAATCTTGTTACATTTATGGGAGACGAAAATGGAACATTTGAAAATCTAGCAAGTTACAGTATAGACTTCGATTTTTCTCCGCTGGCGATTGGTGCTAGTAGTCTGAATCAACATGAACGTTCAGAAATTTTGGGGTACGGATATTATGTCATCAATTTTGCGGTCACCTCTAGTAGTTCTCTTCTGCTACCTACCTAACTTATCACGATTCTGAACGATCCTCTTGTATCAAACCTAATCGTGTGCGGAAATCCATCAAATAGTCGGCAAAAAATAAATATTTAACGGTTTTTAGTGACTTTTAATGAACAGATCACTCTGAATAATTATGTGGAGCGCCGATTAGGTTTGAAGGTACTATACACACGTTGATTGTTGCTAAACTTGTAACAACGAAAGAAGCAAGATAACTTTCTTCAATCACCAAGATCCAAATAACTTTTAAATACTTGTTAAGATATCACGCTGTCTTATGTTTTGATGTTGCTCTATTGCCACTTTTCTTTAATGAGTATAGTTACGCTCTAATAGAAAATTATTATTTGTATGCAGAAAAGACACATGTTTAAGGAGGTTCAACATAATATATCGTACCTACAGGAACAAACTAACTTCTTTGGGTGGTCTCTAGACCTAATTGAATAATGTATTTTGACACATGCGAACATGACTTGAGCACAAATCCCTTGAACGCATCTGAGTTATTCAGAAATTTCTGAAATCCTTCTGTAACCAAAGAAATCGATTTTAAAAACTGATTATTTTAATAAAAATGAAATAGCACAACAAAATATATGCTTTGGGTACTGATGTAAGTTTTGTTCATAGCATATGACTTGAAAATATTTATGAATTTTTCCCTCAAAGAACTGTTTTTTTTGTAAGATGATCTTCAACATAGCTCATTTACCAAATTTTAAGCAATGTTTATATTGTCTTACCAAAACAGTGACAATATGCACCAATGCATCTCTTAAAGACTCCTTTTCCACATCATTCTTTGCCACTTTTTGTTTGGTCTTTCCTTTCATCTACATATATCGAGTGGTACGATTTTCGAACAACGCTTAGGTTCATGAATGCTACTTGCTTCAACATAAGATTAAGTTGATGAGAGTTCTATTTCGTTGATTCGAAAGTGTCGTACGGTACATATATAAGAAACCTGTCTAACTTTTTATCAAAGAGTACCATTAATATTTAGATTGTTACTCGCACTCGATTATCCAATGAGAAATTCGTATTATCATCAGGGCCGTTTTGCAGTTACGCGACTGAAATTTCCATATTTTGAGTGTCAAGTGGATTACACGCAGTGCACAGTTGTTCTGTAGGATGTGACAAGAATGATTTATACAAAGTTCACATAATGCATAACTCTCTAAAAAAACCTAACTCCAGAAGAGAACTTATCCTGAGAAGAACTTTATTTGATACTTTTTGTTCAATAAAAAACGAATCGGTTCATTTGTCAGACAAAAAAGGTGGCCAACAAATCACTGTTCTATGCAATTCTATTTTATGAGTAAGTATGGATACATTCTCATAGAATAAATATTAGCTATTGACACTTATTGACCAGGCCTTTTACGGAAATTTACTTTCCGTTTCGTTTTCTCAGAGTCTTCAATAAGCTGATGTTCGAAGGTTGTACATTTACAAGATGTTCCTGTTTCCTTTTGGCTAATTTCTCTACATTGTGCATCCTTTGAATAATAGAATTAACAGAGAATGCAGAATTTCCATTGAAAAACAATCATTTGAGAGTTCTATTGATGCTTTATACGCATGGAAAATCTTCAGTGGCCTACATACTAAGCTTTCCTTTGTTTCTGTTGTCAGAGAGTTCATTGCATCTGTTATAGACGAACATTTTCTAGGTGGAATACAAAAGCTGAACTATTGTGATACTGTTTTTCTGGTATAAAAAACTTCAGAAAGTGGGTGATACTAGGAGTTTCAAATTATAATTATTTTCCGTTCAGTATAGGAGCAGAGTTAATTATTTGTAATTTAAAGCTTTTTGGAATTTAAAAATAAATTATAGATAACCGAATTCATTTTATAAGAGAAGAACTTAGCCGTAGCTGATTCGATTGATTTAACCTTCTTTAGCTACAATACTATTGAAGGATAGATACCGCGAAAAGGCACACCTTAGCAAACATTTTAACAATCAATTTGAGATGCTTCAGTCATCTTTCTAAGAGTTTTTCTGAATCGCAATTATAAAAAGCTTGAAGCATAAGAACGAAATGTAACACTAGTCAAATAGAACCAAAAAACTATTGACTCATATTCCAAATATGTTCAACAAAACATTTCTCTGTGAAGTCCTCTTCAAATTACCGTAAGGTAACATAAGATATCAAAACAGACATATCTTTGTTTTGTCCTTGATATAAATACACTTTTTTGGTTCTACTCTGATGATGTCTCCTTTGATAATGAATTTAAACTGTTTTAAAGAGAAATAGTTATAGATCCCAAAAAAACTTCGCTACTAAGGTGTGACATAAATGCGAAATGAAATCATGCAATGAACAGTCTATAGGCCATATAAATTCAAAGAAGTAGAAACTTGGAACTAGATCACTAAAAGACATCAATTTTCGATGACTTGAAATGCACCTATTTTAGCTTGCAGCTAGTTGTACCGCATGAGACGATGTAATGAATATTAAGTAGAAAACCTGCAGTTTACTTTTTCAAAGTTCGAAAGTGCTACGTATATCGGAAACTACGGACTATTTGATAAATACCATACAGTCTCTTTTCATGCACTTATTCGTGAGAAGAAAGAATCTTTTTTCTATTGTGATTTTCCAAACTATGGTATGAGTAAAATGTGTCGTCGTCAGCTTCAATTTGAAATTTAAACAAAGCATGTCAGAACTTTCTTTCATATCTTATATGTCTCTACAATTAACATAGCATAGCAATTTCTGGATCTGATAGAAATCTTTCGAAAAAGACATGCTTGCTGAAACATGTTCTATTTTTCTATTGAATAAAGAGATCATATTCACGATGAGTACAGCAAACTGTATCGAACCAAATTCGACACAACTATCTTACAGCCAAGTACGTTTCTTTGGCTTTTCCGGCACGAGAACTTCCTAAATTGAGTTACTCGAAGGAACCCTGACTCTTAGAAAAGGACTTTTTTACGTTTGATCACTCACTAGGCTAAAGAGTAACAATCACACCTTTATTTCTAGTTTTATACTGAATTTAGACATTGAATTACTTTGGGCATGGAGGACTTTGCTGAGCGAATTGTTTAAGTAGTGCTTTGATGAGAAGATAGCTTGATTCTACAAAAATAGTTTGAGTCAAGGTTTGTTGAGTATTTTTCCAAGCATGGCTCATCATTTTGTCATTCAATTGGAGTATTTCAACGTATTCTATGTGCTTCACTATTCTCATCCTTGGATTTTTATAATCGGAGAGCAGCTAAACTTTTTGAAATGTTACTAGGTCAAGAAGTTGGTAAAGTGTCAAAAGACCGAAAGTCAAAACGTTGAAGGGCAAAATATCGAAGAAAAAACGTCGAAAAAAAAACATCGAAGAGTCAAAATGTCGAAAGGGTAAAACGTCGAAAATCCAAAAATGTCGAAAATAAAATGTCGAATGTACAAAATGTCGAAATGTAAAAATGTCGAAAAGAAAATGTCGAAAAGCAAAAGATCGAAAATGTTGAATATGAATGAGAGTACTACGAAATTTTCTAATAGTGCATTGTCTATTATTTTACGTCTGTTAAATAGAAGAAGATATAGATTTTGCATTCTTGTTGAACACAAGAGGAAGCAAAACAGATGAAAAAAAATTGTTATATTATAATTCAAATACACAAGAAAAAACAGTAAAAGTGCAGATACAATGAAGAATTTAATTTTTACTTTTCACATTTTTTGCAACAAAGAAAGACAAATATAAACCTTGTAAATATTCTTGAACATCAATTTCTTGATTGCCGAATCGACTTGTAAGTGCATTAAGCCTGTCTTGCATCGCGCACACTTTTTTCGACCTATTTTTATTTTTTCCACTCTTCATTATGTATTACAACACGATAATGATTAAATGTCCACATACATCGTTAGAAAGAGATATATATGGACGGATAATAAGAAAAAAATAGATAA